GTTCAAAAGTGAAATTTTTTGACATTTGAATCAACTGTTTAATTCCTAATTTTTTATATTTTTTGCATAATAGAACACTTTAGCTCAGCTCTGTCAAGAACATTTTATCCTATGTGACTTTGAGTCTTCATGTGGGGAAGACATGGCATAATGCCAACCTACTGACTCACATTTCGTAAATATTTTGCAAACAGTGCTTTTTTGGTTTCTACCAATTTTTTTCCTTTTTTTTTTCCCAATAATGAATTATTTTTTTATAGGAGGTGACTCCTCTTTTGCTTTAATAAAAGGCACGGACTACATGAATGTGAGAGGGGCAGTGATAATGTAAACTAACCTCATATGCTGCTTACAGAAAATAATAAATGGGTATTGTGGGAAGGTGTAATACAATGAAACTTCCCTTCCATTGCTCTGATTACACGTTTTCTTGATCAGCGACGGGCTCATGCATTTGAAAGAAGTAAGGAGCTGTAAATGTAAAGCAGATCCTACTGGGAGCGAGTCGCTGTGGCAGGCGGTGATGGAGGGCAGTGCAGGTGATGTTGTAGAAGGCAGTGGAGATACACACTGAGTTATTGGCACATCACTTTTGTCTGAGGGACCCCATTGCAGGATTAATGTTGTGTCAGCTGAGTGAAGTTATATATTTGATGCTTAGTTATGCTCACTTGTTTATATAAAACCTGTTGAAAACCCAGTTTGTGCCCCAAGATTGATTTCTGCCTTGAATCAAAAGGCTTAACAGAAGAGCTACGTGCAAATAACTGCAGAAAGGGATTATGGCCCGTCATGAAATTGGCGTCTAACACATGCCATGTAAACAACTTCTTATCAAAATGAATGAAAGATTTTAGACTGGATTGGTATCTGCTTACTGCTTTTTTGCTGTTTCCTTTCCTTCAATCAGCTTGACGTGCCCTGCTGGGCCGGTTCCGTTCTCAGCCCCGCTCCCAGCCCGTGGTTCCCCTGAGTGTCAGTTGGGGCTGCAGCTTCTGCTGAGGCCATGGTAACAGGTACATTCAGACCTAGTGAAGACCAGTAAAGCATCAAGAGGGTTCTCAGACTTGGAGGAAACCGAAGCTGCATCATGTCATGAGCCCACTTACATTGACATATAGCTCATTATTGAAGAGGGTTTGAAAGGAGTGTGAAGCAGGATGTAGGAAAATACAAGCTTAAAAAAAGCTTTTTTACTGTTACCTCATTTCAGTTCAGAAAATCTCAATGATGTTATTACAGAAGTTTAAAGTTCCTTCGAATGCTTCCTCAGTTTATTCTAGCTCCAATCTGAGTAGACTTTTAGCAGTTTTCTTTCATTTTCTATTTATTGTTAGATTTTAAAGCTTCATGTGTATGTTTTTGCTTCACTCTGTTTCAGGAGTGAAGTAGAAACGACTGCATATTCTTCCACATTCATTTTCAAAACATTCCTTTTTAAGTCTATTAGCGTGGCAAGTGAAGGGTAACTGAAACAATTTAGCATTTCATTTTAGTTTCTTAAGCTGCTAAATGCATGAGCAGACTGCTTCCAAAATCCCTATAAAATTTCTGTTTAGAGGGAGACGTTGTGTTACACAGTGTGGGGGAGGCTCCATCCGGGTCCTGCCCCTGAGCTCCAGAAAACAGGGCCTTAGGAGAACTGACACCTTCCCTCTGGAAGTCTCTCACCCGCTCGTACCATCAGCTCCTGTAACCCTCCTCCTGTTTCTGTTATTGGTCCCTGTTTCTGTGGAGATGAATGGTTTGAAATTGTAACTGGCTGTTTTCTTGGAGTGATACACATTCTTCTGCTGACACTTCCCGTGGAACTTGCTGGCTTTAGGGTGCGGAGCTGCTGTGGATTTCTTTGCCCATTGATGGTATTTTCTTGTACAGCTTAGAAATACCACTCAGTTTGTCATTGCCTCTGTGTGAGACGGGCCCAGACCCGCTGGCCTCCTCTGTAGGATCCAGCTAATAAACCTCTGCTACATAGCAATCTTTTGCTTAAGGCCTCATTTATCCAGTTTCATTCCTGCCGAGCTAAGCAAGCTGTTTAGACCCCATCTAGTGCTGAATTTACCAGTGGCAGAACTATAGAAAAACCTGAAATAAAGGTCTGACTCCATCTTGCTCCTTGTACCTGGCTGTTCATCACCCTCCGTGGCTCTTCAGAACGTGGGAGAGTTCAGACAGCTCTCCTAAGAAAGTGTGTTAGATCCTCTTACCTGCTGCTTTCCTGCTTTTTCGGTAGTGCCCCTGTGCTCAACTGCATCATGAGAATCCTTGCTTTGCAAATTCTTCAAGAAGACGCATTTCTGTTATGCCTAAAAACAGAGCTAAATGCCTGAACTTGTTTGGATCCTACAGCATCTGCCTGTGGACTTGATGTTTTTTACTTGTGAACAAACTTATGTAAATAAGATCTTAGATGACAGGAGAGAAAGACTTGAGTCCCAGAACTGAGTGTGGGACCTGGTATGGGAGAAAGGTGTGAGGACTGAACTACAGAGCAAGTGAGTTCCCCTCTACACCAGAATAATTCTTTGGTGTCAAAGGGAAGAGTGGACGGCAGAGAAGACATGCCCAAGTGAATGTCTGGACACTGGAAGAGAGACACTCTTCTGGTTCTTGGCGATTTTCAAGTGGAACAGCTCTGGTAATGAAGGAATCTCAGGGAATGAGAAGACCCTGGTTGAAGCTACTTTGAGTAATCAAATCATTAAATAAAAATTGGGAACACACTGCTTGAATTCAGTAAATGTATTTGGGGTGACTGAAAGCATGGTGTTACTGGGGGGAAGCATACTACTTAGCAAACATTTTTGCCCAGTACTGCTTTTAATAACCTGTTTTGAGGCAGCGAAGGTAAGTGATGCATATGCTGTATATATCCAAGTGGGACCAGTCACATTTAGTTCTCTTTTCTGAAAAATGACGTGATCTAATGTAGATGCTTTGAGCTATTTATATTACAGTACTTATGTCTAAGGGTTATTTATGCTAATATGTCCCTTCTAATTAATGGCAAACTGGGGCGGGGGAGGACAGTGTTCTCTGTGTCCCACAAGTGCTCCGTGTGCTCCCCAGTTCTGACATAACCTTCACGTACCTGGGACTGGCAGGAAAAGGACTGGGGGGTGGGAATTGTGCTTTTGGCTTTTGAGGGATGAAGGGCTAGTTTTACCACTGCCAAGAAGCTCTGCCACATATGTCTTTCATTAACAATTTTATTATTATTGTGTATTAAGATGCTATTAAGGGAGCATTTTCACAATGCTGAGGAGAAAGATCACATATGAGGAGTGGTATCTGTGCTAACACTGCAGTGACGCTTTTAGTTTGTATTTCTGTGCTGTACAAGTTTGAATTCCAGTTTGAAATAATTCTGTAAGAATAGCTAAAAGAAAAACAGCTGTTCCTGTGCTGACTGCCATTGCACACTCAAATACCTCTGGACAGGGGCAGTTTGCAGATATATATCCTAATCTACCCCATAGCATCCCTGCCCAACTGCACATTCCTCATGCAAACCAGCCCACTACATTTTCTGGGATTCATTCAGTGCTGTTAATACCTGCTGGCACAGACAAACTTCTCTCTGTTTCTACCCCACTGCCCCCTAAAATAATTAGTAACATTGTTCTAATTAGGTGGAAAAGGAGGGAAGTAGAGAGGTTTGGGGTTTCAGGACCTTGTGCCTTTTTTCTCCTCACTGCCTACCTTTTCCTAGTCACAAAGAGAGTTTTTGAGTTGGGCCTTTGCTCTTTTCCTGTAAAACATCTCCTGAATGAGTGGCTGTCTCCTAGCTGCTCCTAGCTGTTCTTTCTAGAAAGGAGAGAAAGGAGGTTTCAGAAGGTGAAACACAGTTCTGAACAGGCCTGCACTGAGAACTAGTTAAAAAAAATGGAAGAGGTTAAAAAGGATTTAATGCTCAGCTAAATCCTAGTTCTTATCTTCGGGGATGGAGTTGAATCTGGAAAAGTTGCATGTGCTGTGGGCTGATAACTGTGTAAATGACAGTTGCTTGAAGATCCCCAAAACTCAGTAGTTTTATCAAAAACCTAAAAACCATGCCAGTTGATGCTTGTGCTTGGGTATAGTAGCAAACTGCATTGAACTTCTAAAGATAAACTGAGGCTGCAGGAGGCGACAATAACTGTTGTAGTCTGAGTACACAGGGCATCCATTGCAGGCAGTGTCTCTTTAATAAGCTATCTTGAAATCTTTTAATATAGAGTTTTCTTTTTCAACCACTGTAAAACTTCATGTTATTTTCATGTTATTACCTTACCTGCACCACGTGAAAAGTCACATCAGTGTTTAGTCTGTGGAGACACTTTGAAAAGAACAAAATATAATTGCTATTTTAGCAAAGAGAGGGGCAAACACGGCATCAATCAAAGGTGCAGCTCGCTGGGAGCCTCGGACTGCGAGGAGCCCTGGGCTTGTCAACAAAAATCTTTCATAAGCACAGAACAGAATTAATAGAGTCTGTGCACAGAGCTGGTGAAATGCAGAAAGGGTGGGGAAAAAGTATTTTAATATCTTAGTATTGAAGTACTTATTGTAGTATAGAAAACCAGATGAAAAATGGCTGAAATGGTTGTTCCTTTGAGGAATGTGGAGTTGTGTTAGCGCTTGACAAACCTGTTACAAAAAGAGTTGGTCGTTTAGGGTTGGTCTCCATTTGTTCCTAGGTTTGCTAAGAAATGTACACATTATTGAACATGTAAGCATTGAGGGGGAATGTAATATCTGATGTTACTGAGGCGGTTTTGGCAATTTTACTTAAAACCTTTTCATATGTGATTTTATTGTGTATTATGCCAGGCAGTTGTGAACCACACACTAACACGTGAGAAGGCAGTGCTCACTATGTGGTTATGTGCTGGTGATAAGACTAGAAATCCCCGTTTGTAAACGGATTTGGTGGGATTCCATCCTTGTCCCAGCCTGGCAGCATCACAGTGTTCCTGGCGCTGCCGCGGGACTGACTTCTCGCCCCTTTCCCCCAGGTTCTCCAGTGGAAAGCCCAGCAGGAAGAGGCTGCTCAACTGGAAGCTGCTGTAGCTGCCAGACGAAAAGAAAAGAAAGCTGAGGAGGAAAGGCTGCAGAGAGAACAGGAAATGATCCGCAGAGCTCATGACAAGGAGAAAGTATGAGAAACTTTCATACATTTTTGCATATGTTAATGGGTACAATTGCCTTTAAAATCTTGAGCTGCTCTCACTACCTTGTATTCTTGTGAAGTATTAGCAGAGAGATGAGCAAATGAGTCTTGCTACTGTCCGCTCTTACACATCAGTTCTGTTACTTCATTACGTTTCTAAAAGAAAAAAAAGGCACAGAAAAATAATTGTGAGTATGTCGGTGTCACACAGACCCAGCGAGAGGCTCTGCTGGAGTTGTAGCTCGTACAGATCTCTGCTTGTGAGCTGTGTGCAGGCTCTGAGAGCTTCCAGTGCTGCAGTTAAGTGTGCTGCAATGCAGCAAATGAGCCTTACGGAACATTGTCTGCAAGATCTCCCACTGCTCTTTGCAGCAAGGGCCCTGAGGAGTGGGCTGAGCACAGGGGCAGTATTAACCCTTTCAGCCTGTGGCAGGTCTGGGTCACCTTATGCTGAGTAACTTGTGTGGTGACCACTTGGGACATGGCTTTGATGCATCGGTCTACACTTCAACATCCTGGGTCATCAGAAATTCACTATGGTGAATGGAATGCTTTTAGAAAATCAAGCTGTGTCACACGTGTATTTGCTTTGACCTTTTTATTTTAATGATATGGCAAAAGCCCAGGAGGTTGTTTAATTAAAATTTAACCTCCTTTTCTGATTATTTTTTACACTGAAATCTGGCTTGCTTAGAGTCCAACTCGCCTGCGGTAGATTTGCTAAGACTGCATAATTATTTCTGGGAAAAATAAGCAAATAGTCTCTCTGACTCGGATGGGACTGCTCGTGCTGAGGTGTTTGCAGGAAGGGTCCCCAAAAGCTGTGCTCCTTTAGGGGGGAGAGGTTAAAGAGAGCACCTGTCGTTCGGTCAGAGCCCAGCCCAAACCACAGAATAACAGGCCAGTTAGAAGCAGAGTTTAGGAAAACAAGGCTTAGCTGTTCCAAGCAGAGTGTTTTCGTGACGTGTGTTGAAGGCTTTATTGACATCAGTGCGCGTTGCACTACAGAAAACTTGAGCAAAAGGAGGAGGAAAACAAAATCTTTATGTACATTGCCATGTTTTCTCTTTAGACTTTGCCTTCGTGTCTTTATTTATCTGCCACGTTTCTGTGTAACGTACCTTACTGGGAGCAAACGCTTTCTGGTGGGACTTCAACAGGGCCGGTTAGACGCCCGACAACTGGATGGATTCTCATGTTGGTAAATGTGTCTATGGCAGGGGAAAAAAACCAACACAAAGCAATCCATACTCTTACAGCAACTTGATTAAGTTGTTACTAAAACAATTTCCAACACGTACCAAAAGCAGAAAAGAAATTACAACAGAGCAAAAGGAATGACTTGCACGCAGGGGAGTCTGGCTGCTGTAGCAGAAGAATGAAAATAGTCCTGTGCTGCTTGGAATTTCCCAATCTCTTTTTATAGCACTCAAATGTGTTTTCCTTGCTTTGTCCAAAGAAACACGTCTTCATACCGTGCCAAGCGGGTCAAGAGCAGAAGCCCTCATGGCTCATTGTATTCCTGGTGGCACTCTGTGTAAGTGCGGAAGTGATACCAGCACCTCTGCCGAGAAGCACTTGGCTGGAAGCACTACCTGGGGAGAAGCAGCTGGAGCTGCTGGAGCCTTGTCTCCAGATAGAGACTGGTGTCTCCTCTTTATTCCTGCAGGTCCCTAGAGCCAAAACTGGAAAAGCTGCCTAATTTCAAGTTAGTTTTATTTTATTTGTGAGTTCTTACTCATGACTACATTTGCACATTGCATGTGTCCTGTCTCTCCTGTCTCTGAGAAGTCTCTGCTTACGTTGGTCCCCTGATTTTATTCTTCTTCTGCAATTTATCTTAAAGACGAAATATACATTCTTGGCAAAGCACAATCTTTCTGTTAAAATATGCTGAATCATATAGTTAGCAGAATTGCAACTGATTGTCCAAAAGTCTGTTTCAAGAGATGTTTTTCTTTCCTGAAAAATGCACGGAATACTCTCACTTTTGATAGGAATCAGAAAAATACAGATTGGAAAGGGATGCTCTACCTGGTTTGTAGCCTAGGCAGGGGTATTTCAAGTAATCCCAAACCTGGGAATGGGGAACATGACATAAATCTGAAATGCCAGTTGCTGTGTTTGGTCTATTCCACTGCCGATCAGATTTTTTCCTATATATTTAAATAGGGAATTTCAGAAATATCCACTGGTCCCTAATTAGAGTTTATGAGAAAGCCTTCAGGCATTGTGGATACAAGAGTGGAATAATTGCAAAAGAGAGTTTTATTTCATAAATACAAGTATTACAAACAATGTTAAATAAAAGCATTATAAGAAATATGGTTATAGTCATCCCTGTGTTCATGCCCTTTGTGTGTAGAAAAATAGCCTATATAAAAAAATGATTGGCTTATAGGTTGGGAATTCTGAAATATGAGCACTGTTTGGAAGGCTTGTTTTATTCTGAATCATCATAGTTAAAGGTTTTTCTGCACATAAGTCAATCATATAAAGAGGATGGTATTTTGACTGCCATTTCAACTGAAATTTCCAAAAGAAGCTTAAATTCAGTATAGTTCAGTGGATGATACAGAAGTTATTTTTATTGCCATTTTATAAATCTTTTCCTATGTGAGATGATTCCATAAGTAATTTTCATTGTAAGAAATTACCTATATTTTGGGAAGTAGGGATCTTCACAGTAACTGTATGCATTTAGTTGTAAAAGCAACAGATTATTGAGGTATGATTTTAATTGCTTTTATAATTAACATTTTCATAGATTATTAAAATTCTTAAGATCATCTTAGATGTTTGCATCTTTTTCTAAAGCTTCTGTTATCTATTATTGCAGCTGTATGTTAAATTTTAGAAACATAGTGCTGTTTTGTCAGTGAATTACAAGTGGCAGCATTGTCATACGCTTCTGCCATCATAAACAGTCTTTTCAAAAACTCAGTCTTGGTTTTCAAGGTAAACACTATCTTTGTTTTGCTGGAAGCAATAATTTTTATTGAATTTTGTAGCTTTTCTCTTACTATTTGTCATAGCAATTGCCAAGCAGCCCATTGGGCCCAAGGAATTAAGGGGTTTCTCAGTCAGCTCTGGGGTCATATGAAGCACCGTGCCGTTCTCTGGCTATTGCTTGGGTTCTGAGTTGGAAGTACATCGGGGTATGTCATTAGTGCTGTGTCCCAGCTTGTCTTTCTCTCCTGGTACCCGCATGTGGAGTGGAGAAAAGAAGTGGAAATGAAAGAGTGAGAAATGGCGAGAGCACTGACCATTGCAGGGCTCCCCTGCCACCCCCACTCTCCTTGTTGGGGTAGTGCAGAAAAGAGCACGTGATACCTCAGAAGACAGAATATGTGACACTTGTTGGAGATGACATGGACTATGGGTTGTATTACGATGGGTTGTTATGGGGTGTTGGTGGCTGGAACAGGCAGGGTGGGTCAGCTTAGTGCCAGGGTGGGCAAGAGGCTGCAGGTCAGGGACGGTGGGTTTTACAGGCTTGGTGCAAATTCCACCAGTTCTCTTTGAAGAACTGCACTGGCTGTTGGAATCCTGTAGAAATTTTTTAAATGAAGAATGAGTTTCACTTCAACGATACTTACTTTAAATCCCAATTCCTCGTTTTGTATTCAAACCCCCCCAGCTTCCCAGACAAGCTTCCCTGCTCAGGTCTCACAGCCTGGCCTTTCTTTCTCACTCAGCTCTGGAAAAGCTTCATACTTCCACGAGGACCACTCATGCTTCTTCCTCTTCCTCAGTGGGCTCCCCACCTTGGCCAAAGCAGCTGGGCTGGGGTGGATCCAGCCGTTGGAGCTGACCTTGGGCATTTTCACTCCAGGAACATCCCCTCCCTCAAGCAGTGTCACTAAAGGTTTTGATGGCCGAGTAGCAAAGCAAGGAGCGAAGGAAAGTGTAGTCTTCAGTTTGCAGAGCTGAAAGTTATATTCAAATTAAAGTGTCCACACTCCGATTTTACTGTTTCTGTTGGGGGGCTCCACACCCTCTCGTTCTGCTAGTAAATCTTTTGTTGGCATACACTGTTCTAAAATATAAATTCTATTCTAAAAAGATCAATATTGGATTTTCTTTAACATAATGCTTTTCTTACTTTGTTCTCACTGCCTTGGATTGTGAATGATTGTTGTTTTGTTTACTGTATTTGTTCAAACTCTAGCTGAAAAAGTACTGGGCTGAGAAAGAGCTGAAGTGGCAAGAACAGGAAGAGAAAGATCTACAACGTCTGGAGGAATTAAGAAAATTAATGGCTGAACAAGCAGTTAAAGACAGAGAAAGGTAAAAGAAATTAAATATGAATACCTGTAGTATCAATAGGATACTTCTTATAATATAATTTGCTTTGATCTCCCAACTTTCTGAATTAGAATAAACCGAGATAAGTAATTTTTGGTTTTCTTCCTATTTGGCAGTTACCCCAGTCCGTATACCAAGGCTGATCAGGGTCATATATCAGATCCAATTTATTTGTTAGTTTGAATTCACTCATATCCATCAAAGTTTTGGACCTTCATAAGCTCTGAACTGTTGTAGTGCTGATAGGATACACACATTAAACCCAGCTCCCTCTCTGATGTTTTAATTGTAGCTGGGTTCTAAGACCTGCATTCCCTCTTTGCAGAATTGCTTACAATCAGGTTTGTTTTGTTTGAGAGGCAAGTCAGAGGAGCACATTAAGTGCTTAACAGCCTCAAAGATATTTATTATTCTTTTAGAGGGTCTTAAACTGAGCATCTAGTTGTGGATGCTCTTCGCCTTTTTGATGTCATTTAGGACTTCAGCCTGTTAACTTGTGAATTCTTGCCAAGCCTTTGTTGCAGAATATGGCCTTTAATGACCTGGTGAAGCCATATTGATTTCATAGAGAAGCACAGAAAGGTTTGTAGTCTGGTTATAATTGCTCTCAAATCACAGGCTTACTTTTTTTTTTTACATAGAGGGAGCCACCAGGTTGCATGGACCACAAATGAAATTAGAATAAGATTAAAGTAACCATTTGCATTTAGAATATTAAACTCCATCTTACGTGTTCTGTGGGAAGCAATCTTATTTTGTTATGATACCCTACAGACAGTTAAATTTAAATGTCTGTATCCTTATGCTACAAATATATCTAATCCTTTCCTTAAAAATACTGCACTGATTTTAGCTTATAGCAAAAGAAGCACACGTACTTGAATTATTGAGCTTTCAGCAGAACTGGTCAAGACAAAATGACTTTTCTTTTAAGCCACCTACTGCACTCTGCCATACAGTTGGGGAATGTTCTTTTTCTTATGCTAATAAACCTTGCAGAATAAAATATAAGGAAATGGCACAGTTCATTGAAGAATGCAAGAAGGAAATAATCACACCTTCAGGCTGTTATGAATCAAAAGTCGGTAAATGCTTAGCATTATGTTTCCCAAAATTCGTGTACTGTACAGAATAAACCAGTTTAAAGATCAGTGCTTGCTGTTTGTGGAGATTAATAATTCTTTTAAATTCTTAATGCTTTTCATCCTCAAAGCCTTCAGCAGCATTAATCAGAGCAGGACAGAGAGGTGTCACTGCTATTGGATGCTGTGGTGCTACAAGTGTGGTACAGGGCATCCTCAAATATTGTCCTGGAGGGAGGCAGCCACTGGCACAGCGGCTTCGTGGTGCAGGGCTGCGGTCCTGCAGGAGCTGACAGCATCCTTACCTGGTTCACCTGTGGCAGCACGGAAATTGGGATTGAGTCTCTGCAGAACTGATCATAAGAGATGGCACAGGCCAGTACCACAGCTCTCATCTGGCACGTTTTCAGGCTTTTTTGGGGAAAATAAAAGATTTTTTAGACAGCGAGCCAGCTGGCTATTCCAAGTACAAGATACGGCCTGGACAGTGCATAGAGTTTCTAATAGGTACAATGAGACATTAAAAATGGCCTGCTGTTACCCTGAATTACTTTTAAAATTAAAGTTAAGTAATCAGGTTTATAAAAAAGAAAATTATTATCACCGAGTCACTGTGCTGCTCTGTTTATTCACATCTCACTTTGCAATTGCGAGATGCTGAACAGGCAGAGCTATGAGCAGATCGAAGAAAAGGGTTAATGGCACCTGAAACTGGATGTAGAATTTCCAGTGACTAATTCCAAATTTGCTTTCTACAACTCCTCTGCTTAGTGACTGTCTGACAGTGGAGACGTGTAACTGATTGGACACGTGATTCCTTGCCCTGTAAGCTCCTGGGTAGCTGCAGCTGTATGTTGTGTGTGTGTCCTAGAGCTGTTGTCAGAGCAGCTGGGACCCAGCTCTCGCCTCGGCACCCATGGGCTGCAGCTGTGTGAGCTCCCACGGGTGCTGCTCAAGTGAAGGATGCTGAGAGTAGGGAGTTCCACACAAAATCCTAAATAGCAGTGCTATCTGCATTCAGAAACCTGGGGAAGGGGAAGAGGATTGTGCTGTGGTTTCTGCTCAAATCACAATATCTATACTGTGTTCATTTTTTTATCCAACAGTCAGTTCATACAAAATTTGTAAGACCGTATTTAAAAAAATCATGGGGCTGGAATAAGAACCTAGATCTGCCCAGAACCTGTCAAATGCCCTGACAAGTGGGGAAAAAAGCACACTCCTTTTTGCTTTCTTCTACTCCCATTCATTTTGTATTGTTTGTGAATACTGGTCCGGCTTCTAAAACAGGGGTGGAGGTGCCCTTGCCCAGACCATCGCATCTTCTCCCTAGTTGCTGATAATGCAGAAAATGCAGGTTTGAACTTCTTCAGGCTAAGAACCCGAGACCAAAACTGTCTGGACAGGAGCTCTGGTTACTGGTGTGTATTGTAAAGGGTCTGGGCTGGCCACATTTGAAAAGGAAAGTGGAGTGTTCTGATCCTTTTATTTTAAAAAGCTGGAGGTTTAGTAGATGGCAGCTCCACCAGAGAGAGAAATGCTCCAGAAACACAGCAGGTACTAGATAAATGGTGCGTGCTCTCCTTGCTGGCCTTCAGCAGGACTTAACCCTGTTAAACTGGATGTGAATTAGTGTTGGCAAGATGTGTTTGCCGTGGCCCACCCGGAGTGGAGATGTGAGCGTGGGTGTGCTTCTGCAGCAGCTGGGCCTTCGTGCCAACGGGGCATCACACCTTCAGCTGCTCCCAGTGGCTTGAGCAGGCTCTGCACGCCCGTGTCTTTAGGACACTGAGTTATAAGCTCTCTTGTAATGTGGCATCCTAGAACTACAAACTGCATTTAAGTCTTATTGTGCTTCAAGAATGAGCATCCAAAGGGCAGATGTTTGTCTGTGGCTGACAGCCCGCTTCTCCCTTCCTTAATTCAATGAGTTTCAGTCAGGCCCTCCATCGGGGCCTGAGGAACGGAACAGATCGAACAGACGTGAAATGTTCTAAAAGAATATTTGCTCCCCAAAGCAATAGGTTTGCAGGGTGAGAATTAAATCGGCATGGGGTTGTACAGATGTTTTCTCTGGCTGTGGGAAGGGGCTGGCACAGCCCTGTTCTCCCGTCACACGGCGAGTGGGAGCCCCTGCGGGGGCCTTATCCCCGCTGCTGCCGGAGCCTGCCCTGAGCACAAGGGTGGGAGAGGCTGAGGAAAAGATTGCTCTTTGCAAGAATTTCATCTGAGGAGTGAGTGTGTAAAACACTTTCCCTCCCGGCTGCCTCGCGCCTCGGCGGCTCTGCACTGACTCAGCCTGTCGCGGGTGGACACGCCAGCAGAGCCTCTCAGGCACTGCCACAGGCCTTCCTGCTGCTGGGAGGAGATCTAGTCAACTGACTACAGTCAACAGGAGAAGTTGTGATATAGGGAAAAAAACCTACCTACGTTATAACCCAATTTTTTAAAGTTTTGCTAAAGCTTTCATAATAAACATAGTAGGGCATCTTTTCCTATTGAATATTTATGAGACAGTGTCTGAAAGCAGAGTTTTAATGAAATTATGCTTATCAAAAATGACGTAAGTGTGTACCCACAATACTTCAAAAAGGTAGCTTTACTGAAACTAATCAGCTAAGCTCATTTTTCAGCTGGTGATTTATTAAAATTATTACTTACTGTGGTACTTAGAGTCAAAATTGAGTATTAAGGCATTTTAATTTTAAGCTTTTCTATAAAATTAAGTTTACTTTGAAGAAATAGTAGCTAAAATATTACTAAGTATAATAGAGTGAAAGAGAATTAGCAAATTTATTTAGATGAGGATGCTGTAAAATCAAAGCTCAAGTAAATATTTAAAGCCAAGTATAAGAAGCATTGGAAGAATGTTCCACGAGGAACACGATGTGCAGTGGAACATGTGTTTACAGGGCTCTCTGCCCTCCCTGGGTGTACCTTCCATAGCTCTGCCATCACCCTCTGACAGTGAAACTTAATCTTTGTTAGTGCTGGCCTCGCTCTCCAGCCTGAGCAGATGATGATCTCCTTGGGACATCACGGTCAGGAAAACATGAACCTGCTTCTCAGGAGCAGATGCAGGGCCCTTGCCCTGCCCGCCGGCCGCTCTGCTGACCGACTGCAGTCACTTTCCCGTATGGAAACGCCATAAACCTAAACCCTTTCCATTTAGCAAGGCCTCACACCCCCGTGTACATGAAAAGTGCTGCAGTGGGGACAGCATTCAAATCAGCGCCGGGTGAGTGCCCCTCAGTGTTCCCTTTGGGAACTCACAGAACTTCCCAGGGCACTGAGTCTCTCATTTGGTCACACCAGTGTGTTGGAACATGTACCGTAGTCAGCTCAGGCAGAGTGACAGGTTTTCAATATAATATAATTTTTGTCATTTTTTTCAGAAAAAAATATATGAATATCTGCTCATAATTACATTTTCTTCATATAAAAAGCAGATTAGGCTTTCTCCCTGGAACAGAGTTACCTCTGAAGATTACTGCTGTCAGCATTCCTCTGCCTGAAGTACAGTGGCTACAGAAGAAATCGAAACCTCTCTGGGGCATCCTCAGGGAGCTCTGGACCACTCTCTTGGGACAGAATCGTTTGTCCTGATAATTGTTAGGGGATTACTGATGCAATGGTCTTTTCTAGCTACCAACATAACTGTATGTTTAGTTACGATTTTTGCAGTTTATAGCACAAGTTATGTACTTCTTTGAGCTTACTTGCTTTATTGTAGTTGAAGCGGCTCTTTCTGCTCCATTTCTCTAAAGGCAAGTTAAAATTTGAAGGGCCCAAAGAAGGATAATTCTGTGGATGTAGAGCATGGCCATGGTAGCTGCTACAGAAGGACTAAAAGTGCCGTATGGAAGAATGCCCTCCAGCTCCGTAGGGAACGGGGGGTGGCTGGGGGCTATGGGGAGCTACAGTCACAGCAATCCTGTCGGGCTGTGAGCACCTGCTGCTCAAAGTTGACCAGCAAAAATAATGCCACAGGGAAATGTTCAGGATTATTTGGGCTAACCTCCAGCTTTTTCTTGAAGAAGGATGTAATTCTCAAGTTTTCTTGCTTCTTCCAGTAACAAGATTGGGAGTGATGTGTTTCTTTTAATGGAAAGGGTTACATGAAAGAGTTCTGCCATACACAGATGTCAGAGAACATTTCTTCTTGGCAAAGAAAATAGGGGAAAAAAGAGTAGCAGGGCTATATAAAGCATGCTAGAGAAAATCTGCATTCTAGAAATGAAATCTGAAAGGTTAGCCAAGTTGTTTAAAAAAACCAAAACAAACCACAAGCCTGAAACAAATAAAAAATACAACTCTAAAACTCTCTTTCCCAAAAGCCCCGAACCAAAAAAGTCCAACAAAAATAATGCATTCAAATGAAAAAGCATTTTTGTTTTTTCATTTTTCAGGCCTTTTTATTGAACCACCGTATTATTATTATTAGGTGGATATAGAAAACATCAGACTAGTTTTCAAACTGAAATGTCATAAGAGAAATGTAAAATGGCACCTGCCTGGTGTTTTTTCCATTTGTGTGTGTGCTGTTTCGCAGGGTGAAGTTCAGACAAGCCCTGCTAGAAAAACGGATGCTGGAGAAAAAGGAACTGGCCCTTCGAGAAGCACTTGAAGAAGAGGAAAAAGAGAGATGCCTGGAAGCGCTCCGGCAGCAGGTGGGGTTTGTTTCCTGTTTATACAGTATTTTAATAAACTGTAATGATACAAACACATTCTGTCATATTACCTGAAAGATAAAAAGAACAATCTATCAAAAACAAATAAGTGACAAAGTTAAAATGCACTTTTAGTCTTACTCTAACAGTAATTCTGTCGTGTTATAAATTCTGTGTGCTTTGTAACTGACAACAGGAATGTTATGATGTTAAATTGTGCTGTAGAAGCTGTTGATATCTGAAAATAGATACTATTTTTTCTAAGTTGGATATGATTTGTCTTTTTTCTTGATTAATTTTTTTTTTTAATAATCTTAAGTCTGCCTTGAGTCTTAGGCAAGATTTACAAGTAGTTTAACTTCTTTTGGAATTCTGAAAACTTACAGACCTTATATGAAGTTTCTTCAGAGAGAGATTTAACTCTTTGTTAAACTTTTGCATGTTCTTTTAAAAAGGACATCCCAAAAAATGCTCCCTAATGTTTGTCATAGTAAAGTTAGTGTTTAGATTTTTGTGGTTTGTTGGGTTTTTTTCTAGTGCTGACTTTTGAAGAAGTAATTTTATCTTCATTTATATTTTTATATCTAATCTCCAAGGATTAAAGGGAAAAATCTGGAGATGACATTCTTTACACTCAGGAGCTGCAGCCTAAATGTGCAGCCAAAGGAAAATAAGAGAGGGAGAATGGGTGCTCTTCCAACCCTTTTGATTTTGGGTAATTTAAAGAGAACTAATGCAGCAGGTTTCTCCTCAGGACTAACTGTGCTTAAAAATCTGGTATTTGATGCAGCCTTGACCTCACCTTCAGCAAGTCCCTTGGTTTCAGGATTAACCATCCCAAACACTGTGTGAGTGCCAGGAAAACCCTTCCCGAGTCCCTCCTGGGCGGTTTTGTGGCTTTATACATGCTTTCACTGGGGCATTTGGGTGTTCAAAGGCAAGAAGAAAGAAAAATATAGGAGAGTTCAAATACTCTGACCCATCTTCTGTGGGAGAGCTGAGCAGAACAGCAATAAGTAAACCTGAGGGATCATTGGTCTGTTATTTTAGTCATTTTTTAAACCATTGAACTCGGGCTTATTTCCAGTCAATAGTGCTTTATTTTTAATAATCTGATTCAGTTAAATATTTTGCAGTATTAACAGTGTTATTTTAGGTTGTCAATGCATTTTTAATAATAACTCTATTCTGTCTTTTCTGAGTTACTGGTTGAATGGCGCTGCCTTTGTGTCAGGTTTGACGAGAGGCTGGTTGAGAGCCATGGTCTGTTGGTCTCTTTGGCCTGACCCGATTCACTCACCAAAGTACAAAATGCTTCTGGAGTGGCCCTTGACTGGGATGGGAGAGTTCCCACTTCATTACCTTTCTCTAATCGATGTTTATTCTCTGTGTTTCACACTGATGAAATACTGCTTCATAAAATACGCCCCTTGGTTGTATGTGGAAAAAAAAAAAGATCTTCAGTAAAGTCATCCAGTCTGTGTATTTTGACAGCCTGTAAAGACAAAGATGATAGTTTGTTAAAGAGATGGAAAAAAAAAAAAAGCATACACTATTTAAAATATTTTTTTCTGGATTTAACCATTCAGATGGTACCCTGACTTTTATTATTTTGCTTGTGCAACTTTCTGTATTTTCCAAAGTAGCATTAGCCTATGTCTGGATGTTTTAACCCAAAGAAAAAAGCAATGGAAAAAGAATCTGAAACCTGTAGACTCTGAACTTGACTCTTGCACAGTGTGCTGTCTGACAGTCTCTTTGATACTGATCTAGCCACAGGAAATTAAAACAGTTAAACCAGACGCAGTTATGAAAAAACCAAAGAATTAGGTTATTTGTGGTGTATCACTTGATGATGTTGCCCATGACTCAGTAAAAACTGTGAACTACCCATCTGAACGCCTTTGCGTCCGTCAGCAGAAAAAGAAGAAAGTTTGGACTTCCAGGACTATGGTTGTTGTTAAATTCAGTCAGCGGGTTCTTTTGGTGGCTGGTTGTGAGTGTCAGCACTGGTGCTGCTCTCCCCTGCACCTGGGGATGCTGTGGCTTCTCTGGCAGTGTCCCTGCAGAGCTGTGGGACCAAACCCGTGTCACCCAGCACAGACCGGGGGTGCGGGTATTTGGGGAGCACTGGTTTCTGCCAGCCTCCAGCTTAGCCTGAGCTTATTTCCTGGGAGGCAGCAGCGTAAGCTCTCTCTCCACAGAACACCATCCAGTTTTGGAGGACGGGCAGTTGGCAGTCGCAATGTGTGGGTAACTCTGCTGTCTGCCCACGGAGCAGGCGATGCCGCGCTCTGCAGCGGCTCTGGGCTCGCACAGGGCTACGTGATGTCCAGCCAATTGAATTGTCTCCACTGGGAAACAGGAAAAAAATCTCCCCGATTATCGTTCTCTGTCAGAGTGGTTTTACTCTGGATTCAAGTTTTAAGCTTTACAATTTTTATATGTGGATACAAGGTGGTTTAGGACAACTTTTGAAATTTTTAAACCAGGTGAATTATCATGTTCTCAAAGGACATGGGTTATTGATAACAACCTTTCCTCACCTTAGATCTGCACAGATAAGAGTAATTGTTATTTTCATATCATGTATTTTAGGTGGCCGTTGTTGCGAAACCAGACCCAGCCAGAGCAGTGGCTGATACGGTGGCATCGAAAGCTCGGATGGGCATCGGCACCAACCAAGAGTTTGATCTTCAGAAGCCGCTGTTCCCGTTGCACACCTACAGTGAGCAGCAGGTGAGTGTAGTTCCGTCTGTGCACAGGCGTCTCCACAACCACACACGGTAGTTGTGTTACCAATACAACCTACACAGCAGTATCACAACCGGCTGTATAATATAATGTGTGTAAAAATAAAAGCATTAGGAGTAGCAGGTGGGGTAATCCCTGGCCCAAAGCAGGCGCTGGAGCAGCACAACAGGAGCAGAGCTCAAAGGTCCCTTCCGACCCACTGGGCTCTCCTGAACCACCGCTGGAGAGGGGATACTGGGATCAATGGGCCATTGGGCAGTTCCTGTGTGCACTAGGTGGTTTGACTGATCTGTTTGCTGTTTCTTCATTTCAAAACTCACCCTTTTTGCATTTTTATGCATTTATTTAAGAATGCCTCCATTTCACCTGCTCCAGTTAGTGTGCTAAGTATCCAAAGTGCTGGGACCGGTACTGTTTAACATTTTTATCAATGACATAGACAGAGGGATTGAGAGCACCATCAGCAAGTTTGTGGACGACACCAAGCTGTGTGGTGTTGTCGATACACCAGAGGGACGGGATGTCATCCAGAAGGATCTGGACAGGCTGGAGAGGTAGGCTCAGGTAAACCTCATGAGGTTCAACAAGAGCAAGTTCTGGGCCGGAACAATCCTCACCATCAGTACAGACTGGGGGGTGAGGTATTAGAAAGCAGCCCTAAGGAAAGGGACTTGGGGGTGCTGGTGGAGGAGAAGCTGGACATGAGCAGGCAGTGTGCACTTGCAGCCCAGAAGGCCAATCACAGCCTGGGCTGCATCAATAGAAGTGTTGCCAGCAGGTCCAGAGAGGTGATTCTGCCACTTTACTCTGCTCTGGTGAGACCTCACCTGGAGTACTGTGTGCAGGTCTGGAGCCCTCAATATAAGAAGGACATGGACCTGATGGAGCGGGTCCAGAGGAGGGCCACAAGGATGATCAGGGGGATGGAGCACCTCTGCTACGAGGACAGGCTGAGGGAGCTGGGGTTGTTCAGCCTGGAGAAGAGGAGGCTCCGGGGAGACCTAATAGCAGCCTTCCAGTACCTGAAGGGAGCCTACAGGAAGGCTGGGGAGAACCTGTTTAGAAAGGCCTGCAGTGACAGGACGAGGGGCAATGGCTTTAAGCTGAGAAATGGCAGATATAGATTGGAGATTAGGAATAAGTTCTTTACTATGAGGGTTGAGGAGCACTGGAACAGGTTGCCCAGGGAGGTGGTTGAGGCCCCTTCCCTGGAGATATTCAAGGAGAGGCTCGATGGGGCCCTGGGCAACCTGGTCTAGTTGGGGGTGTCCCTGCTGACTGCGGGGGGGTCGGACTAGATGGCCTTGAAGGTCCCTTCCAGCCTGGACCATTCTATGATTCTATGATTTTTTGTAAAAGTTCTCCTGACTGTATTCCAAAGAGCTACCACAGAGGTAACTTAACTGTGGGGTATTTTTTTTTTCTTGGAAGATTGTGCACAATCTTCAAAAGCTGAACGTTAGTATCTTGGCTCCTTTACACTGTTGCTGGGTTGAAGGTCAGTTGGGATGTGACATGGAAGGGCTAGAGGAGAGGAAGTCAGTGAGTGTGAACGAAGGAGGGAACTGGAGTAACTGTGCTGCTGTTTGCAGGGCACTCGGATGGCTCAGGACAGTGAAGCTCAATTTCAAATGGAATTAAGCAACACGGGAGGATTTCTTGATTCCCTTACTGTTCTCCATCTGCTCAGTCTATGCATTTTAAATTATTCCCACTGTGGAATTTGAAAATTATGTTTACAGAAAGAGAAGTGCTATGATACAATTCTATGGCATAAAAGCTTTCTTTTAGCACTGAATAAGCTGAAATTTAACAATGTCTATAACTAAGCTTGTCCAGCACTTCCTATTTTAAGAGATTTTAAAGCTTCTCAGTTTGGTAAAGGAGACACGTGGTACAAGAGATGTAGTTTTTGTGGCAGTGGTTCCTGCTGAGCGTACAGCTGAGCTCTGTCCCAGAGCTACTGTGGTTTTATGGATAGTGTTCCGCAGCGTGGGTCTGCCCCACGGCTCTGGGCACTGTGCTGGGGATGACAGAGCTGAGGGCAACCTGACGCTCTCTTGTTCTCCCCACTGTGGTCTACGGAAAAAGGACTTGAAAGAGGCTTACAAATGTTGTCAAATAACCTTTGGACAAATTTTAGAAGCAATTTCCCCAGGCGCTGATGATGTCAAATGGAAGTGGTGCTGCCGTGCAGTCACTGCGAGGCCGAGGGGAACCATAAACGTGTTGGAAGCGCTGGGATTCCACAGAAACGAACAGGGAGGGATTAAAAGTCTTGTGCTGGAAGCGGGGCTGTGTCGGTGGGGAATGCAGAGAAGTCTGTGCCTCATCAGTGAACAGGCTGAGTTCAACTAACTCCCTTTCTCATCCACACCTTGGGTGCTGCTGAGGAATCACAACCAAACTATTGTATTTGCTACAATAGTTTGTGACCGTTAATGTTAAAAAGGGCAGTATCAAGGTACGTGCACAGAGGTAGGGCTTATTCACCACAGAGTTTGTCTACTTTTGAAGGCTTTGTTTTATGACCACAAATTTCTGACTATCTTTTAAAACTCTTAAAATACAGATACCTTTTAAGATACACTGTGTGTATGAGGAAAGTATTGTTTTGTTTCTATTTATCATTGCTGTGGTTTATTTTAACAGATCGTTTCTGACCCCAGACTCCGTGTTGAGCTGGCTCTTCGAGAAGCTGGGCTTCATAAAACGCTTTATGCAAAAGAGATTTTACCAAAAATTCCTCCACTGAAGCCTCCAAGAAGAGATATGGAATCTACAGCCTTCAGAATGTAGAGAGCCTCCTGTGTCAGCAGGAGAGAAGCTTCGGGGCTATTGCCTGTAACAGGAAACTTTCAATAAATTTCCCTTAGGCTGTGTCCCAGAACTACTAATTCTGGGTGTGTGCAATGGTGGGGAACAGCCCCGTGCCCTCCTCCTGCGGTGCTGCACCGCCTCACGCCGGCTCCGGGGAGGGTTCTACAGGTTGGGAGGGTGAGGGCTGCTGCAACCAAATTCCCTGTGTCCCTGTAGCTGGGAGAGAGGACACCGCTACGTGACAGTCTCCCACAGACCCTACAGCCCATCTGATGTGTGGCATCTGGAGTAGGAACTCTGCTTTAATTGGCAGCATAAATCCAAAATAGCTTTGTGAAACAGTCACTTCAGATTATGTTCTGCCACGTGAACACATCCCACAACTTGCATTGCAGGTTCCTTGAGAATTTGATTCTTTTAGTTATAAAATCTTCATTATCATGACTGTTTCTATTATTCCTTGATTATTATAAGAAGAAACTTAACCTTTGTCTATATTTAGAAACCAATTTGCTGCATCAGATTTACTGCAATCCAGTCATGCAATTTCATATTGCAGATTAGTCTTTCACTATAAATTATAAATAACATTTCAGATCCGGGATTTTTATTTTGGAGCTGAGTCTACTGAATATGATTCTATTAAATGAAAGGGAAATTGATGTCATTTCATTTTGTAACTGATTATGTTTCCAAGCCTTACATAAGATGAGTGTAAAATGCATGTAAACAAGTTACAATTAGCAGTTCAACCAAAAAGTTCTAAGGATGATGAATATTAGACGGATCTGAGCATCCCTACCTGTATATCCAGCTAATGACAGGAGCTTCCTTAGTGTAACTCTGTGATGCCCTATGGTGTCAATGGATGCCATACCGACAGTGCCTGCCAAACAGGGGAATTCCTCACTTTTCAAAGGAGAAACTGAGGATCAGGGTAAGGAGGGCTCTCTCTGTCTTCTCCCAGCAGCATCCGTGGTGCCGATCTAGCAAACACTGAGGGGGTTTTGCTGCTGGCACCAGTGCCCCTGCCTTACCTGGCACCCTCAGCAGGCACTCTGCTTGTGGTGCACTCACTGACTGTGCTCGTGGTGCACTCACTGACTGTGCTCATGGTGCCCTCACCGACTGTGCTCATGGTGCCCTCACCGACTGTGCTCGTGGTGCCCTCACCAACTGTGCTCGTGGTGTGCTCACTGTGCTCGTGGTGCGCTCACCGACTGTGCTCGTGGTGCGCTCACTGACTGTGCTCGTGGTGTCCTCACTGACTGTGCTCGTGGTGTGCTCACTGACTGTGCTCGTGGTGTGCTCACTGACTGTGCTCGTGGTGTGCTCACTGACTGTGCTCGTGGTGTGCTCACTGTGCTCGTGGTGCGCTCACCGACTGTGCTCGTGGTGTCCTCACTGACTGTGCTCGTGGTGTCCTCACTGACTGTGCTCGTGGTGTGCTCACTGACTGTGCTCGTGGTGTGCTCACTGACTGTGCTCGTGGTGTGCTCACTGACTGTGCTCGTGGTGTGCTCACTGTGCTCGTGGTGCGCTCACCGACTGTGCTCGTGGTGTCCTCACTGACTGTGCTCGTGGTGTCCTCACTGACTGTGCTCGTGGTGTGCTCACTGACTGTGCTCGTGGTGCGCTCACTGACTGTTCTCATTGTGTCCTCACCGACTGTGCTCGTGGTGCCCTCACCGACTCTGGGACTGGTGCACTTATCTGCTCCGGATGTGTGCAGTGACTGCACCAAAGGGTTTGCCATCAGAGGCCACCAATGTTGAGTTCTCACCCCAAACCAATGTGAACACTGGCCAAACCCCGTAGCCTGGTGCTGCCCTCGGCAGGAGTCTCTGGGCGCTGGGAGCAGGTTTGCCCTGGCTGGGACGTTCGGGGTGCAGCCAGCAGCAGATGGGGACGCTATGGAGGTGCCAGGGAGGAGCTGGGGTGACCACCCCAAGAGCAGGCTGCGTCTGGGACCAGGAGCAGCGTGTCCTGAGCATTGAAGCGAAGGTATTTTAATGGGGGGAAACGCAACAGAGACTGCCCGAAAGCCGTGGGAGCAGTCTGTCTGCTGGATTTAGCTTGTGCATGTTTGTGCTAAAATTACAATTCTGTGTACATTTGTGCATTTTATTTTGGTATCTCATTTGGGGTAACTCAGTATTTTTAAAACCCAGCTCGTTGGCTGATCCTGCAGAGGAGACCAGCGTTGCTTTTCTGCTCTTTTGGAGACCAGATTGGCTCCTGGGCTGCTGCCCACAAACCAAGATCCCAAACTAAAGGCAGCTGTTTTTTTTTTCCCCTTGCCTTTAAAAGCAGATCTACAAGGTAATTTCAGTGGTGCAAAATCCTTTCAGATTATAGTTGTCTTGTCATCTTTTATAAATACCAAGACATTTATGAAAGAAGAAAGTTTAAATGGAGAAGTTATTTGTTTCTGAAACAAAGGACACTGATTTTTAGGCAGTGGCTGGTGATTGTCTTCACATCTGTTGTTTCTCAGGGAATAGACTGAGCAGAACCCCCAGGAGCCCGTACCGCTCCCTGCAGCCAGGAGCTGGGGCTTGTTAGGACGTGGTGAGGCCACAATGAGGATTTTTAGAGGGATTTTCCTGTAATGGTGGAGCATGGAAAAGGAGGTGGGTGTTTTGCCTTATTTCCCTGTCCTCACCTTAGTGCTGCTCACGGGAGATGGTCAAAACCCTTCAGGAGATGGAGATGCTTATAAGGACATTTGTTTCCATGGTAAATGCTTTCTACACTTTTTTAAAAAAAAAACAAAACTTTGCAAGTTATTTTTGTACACAGGTGTATGAAATTACTTGCACAGAAAAATAGCATTTCAGAAGCTGTTAATGGGCAATGGACTTCTCAACCAGCACCTCCTGCAGCCCTACTTTGTTGGTTTGACTCGGGGGTAGCAGCTCAGAACCCAGCTATACTTGGTGCCAGGGGGTGAAGTGTGGGCAGTCTGACTAACAATCTCATTTTTTTAAAGCCTAAGAAAAACTTCTTAATGAGAATTAAGTAATTTGTTTCAAGATACACTACTTATCCATGTGTGAATTTTGGTAGCCAGATAAGTGGCTTAAATGTTAAATAGTGCCTGAAAGTCAAGGATCCCCCTGGTACAGATCAGTTGGTGCGGTATCCAGCTCTCACAAAACAACTGAAGTCTGTGCCAACTTATGTGCACATAAGGTTATAAGCACATTTCTGTGTGTATTTACAGAAAAAGAAAACCGTAAGTGATTGCGATGCCAGCTCTGACCCCTCTGAGAAGAGGGGGCTTTGCAGTAATGGTCAATATTTTGGGAAGGAGCTCACCACGGACACGCGTTCTGAGCCTTGTAAACTACTGACCCCTCTGAAACCCACAACGAGCGTCAAACGTAGAATGTGCAGCAGAAAAAACATTTTACAACGTAATCATCAAGCTAAAAACAAAATAAGAAAGACGATCTCTTTGCTGGGTGATGTTCTAGGACACAGAGTTCTCCATCTCCTGCAAAGTTAATGACTGGGGCTGCGTTTCCGTAAGCGCCGGCAGAGCCAGCCTCGCGATGGAATTGGGCTGAAGGAACAGGTCCCACATTGCTTTTCCTAGGGTGGTTTTAAATGATTTTCACAAAAAACCGAAGGTACATGTTGCTGTTAGTAGAGAAGTTTCTCAAGTGGACTTTGGACTTGGCAGAAAGGAGTGTGAATGGCAGGTATTGTTGCATGTTAGGTGACAGGGGTAATTTTGTTTCTGTTCTGGGAGGACACTGGATTTCTCCCCCAACAGATTAATATTTGAGCCTGAAAACTGCAATCCTGGATGGAATGGAATCTAGGAATATATCTCCTGTTCTTGTAAAAGGTAGAGTGTGCTTTTTCATGGCTGAACACGTGTCCCAGATCAAAGCAGTGGTAAGTTGTTGGAGTAGCTCTGGGGACCATGAAAGTGGGGTCCCAGCTCCGGGGGAGCCCGTGGGGAGCCCCACACAGCCCTGCTCTGCCACCAGCCCCACGCCCCAGAAATGGACCTCTGGGGGTGGGAGGGGGCGGTGGGACAACGGGCAGTGGGGGACAGGAGGGACAGCAAGAGAAACCCCCACATTTGGGGGCAGATTGAGCTGTACCCTTGTGTGGAAGTGATTCTGGGACTAGAGGGGGCCGAGGTTGCTGGTGAAGCAGATTTTAGGATGTGCCTGGAGAAGGAGTACCTCGGGGGTGGCTCCTCGGCACCTCTGCGAGTGTCTTCAGACTTAACATGTTTTGTGTTCTTAATATCGTTAATGTCTTAAGATCCTCTCCCGTGTTTTTTGATAAGTTACAATTTTGTTTAGCAGAACTCTTAAATCCTGTAAGTTACTGTTCCAAAGGTGTCACAGTTCGTTTGGAAGCGAGCTTGTCAGTCAACCTTGAGAACTGAAAGTGATTTTGGTGGGAAATTCTTCAGGCTGTGGGTGCCCCTCCATGGAAACCCCCTCCCCTCAGCCCAGGCACAGTCCGGTCTCTCGCAGCTTGTGGTTCGTGGGTGGGTGTTGATCAGCAGATGACTCTGAATGATGCAGTCCCGGGGGGTTACCTGAAGCCAAGGTTTCCCAGGACGGTGTGCTCCCCATCCCTTCCCTCCCGGGGGTCCCCACATGTGCCAGGGCCGGAGGGATGGTCTGTGCCAGGTGGGGTCCCGCACACCGGCCCCTCGTGTTCACACGCTCTGGTGCACCTCGGGTTTTGACAAGTCTTTGAATATCGTGTGAATGAAGCTCAATGAAGCGTAACAGCAGTGAGTAACAACAATGGCCATGAATGCGGGGTAATTTTGCATGTCATTTACTGAGGTTTTGGCTTTGTGCCAAAGCAAAGGGATCTCCTTCCCTGAGGAAGGCTGTGTCCCCACCTGAGGGGACAGTCCTTTGCCGCCGGTGACGATGGGAGCAGGAAGGTTGCCGTTTGGTGACACGCTCTGGGTTCCTGTGCTGGTGTTGGCTGGAGCTCTCCTTGGGTGTGTGGTGATGGTGCAACCCAAGCCCTACGGGGGGGCCATGGCTCCCACACTGCCGTGTGTGCAGGTCCAGCTGCCTGCGGGGGCCACTTGCCCACAGGAGTGTGTGGTGGCCCACTCTGTCTTTCCCCTTGCCCGGGAGCAGGGACACTGGTGCGGGTGGGTGCTGCAGACCCCTTCCCGGTGTGGGGGTGCAGACCCGCTCCGTGTCCCCTGCTCCCGCTGGGTGTCCCCTCAGGGTGTGGGGAGAGGCGTCCGTGGCTGCAGCCCCAGGCGCTTCCGGATGAAGGCTGCGATGAGGCGCTGGGGCCGCCGCTGGAACTCCCCCAGCAGCGCGCGGGGGGCGCGGATCTGGTCCCCCTCCAGCCGGTCCAGCAGCGTCACGCAGACCACGGCGGCTGCAGGAGGGCCAGAGGCTGGTTACCCCCTGTGAGACATCACACCCCCCAAAACACTGCCCCGCGGGGAGGGAGGGGGCCCTGGGGTATCGCCTGGGCTGAGGCTGGCAGAGGGGCCGGGGGAGTCTGGTTTTGTTGTGTCCAACATGCGCTCAGGCCTTTTAAAACAAACCTGGGTTTTATTGTTTGTTTTAGTGTACTTTTCTAGTGGAAATGTGGTTTTGGCTGTTGGGAGGTGTGGATCTCGCACCAAACGGAGCCCGGGGGGGGTGAGGGGGGCGCGGGAGGACTCACCTCTGAGGCCACACAGCCCGCACAGGGCAGCGAACGCCGTCGACTCCATCTCGATGTTCCTCACGCCGGCATCGTAAGCTCTTCTGAGGTACTCTAACTTTTTTTCACTGGAAAAAGAGCAGAGCGCTCCGTCTAATCTCCCCTGACCTGGGGAGGAAGCAGAGAGGTGTCACTGCCGTTTGCCATCACCCTCACGGGGGCAGGTTCAGACAGGGAGCCCGGCAGCACCCCACATCTGTCTGAACCCACCACCCGTTCCTTTGAGCAGCTTCTGGACTCACACCAGCCCCGGTGCGTCTCTGTCCGGGGGAGGGAAGGGCAGGTTTAACGTTAGTGCAGCGGGAGGCAGCCCCCGGGGTGGGCAGTGCAGGGGGCATTTCACCCCGTGGGGCAAGTCCTGGCAGCTCCCTGAGGTCCACGGCACAGGGAAAGTCTGCTGGGTTAAACCCCAAAAATGCCAAATTCCCATGGAAGAGGGGCACAGCAAGCTGTGCAGGGTGGGAGAACGGGGGAGAGGAAAAACCCCTTAATTCAGGTTTAATTGTTCTTAAGGGGCTGGGGCGGATGGCAGGCGGCTGGAGCCCGGCCCGGGTGGCACTGGCACTGGCTGGGGACCTGTGTCCTGGCTCACTGCCACCGGTGCCACTGCTCCCCCCCGATCCCCCCGCAGCCTGGGCATCGCTGTGGGCAGGACCCGGGGCTCTGCGCAGTGCATCCAGGTACAGGCACCCATCCCCACCATCTCCCTGGATGCCATGGGTGGCTTTGGCCATCCTGCAGCCACCCCTGGGTCCCCAGGGCACCCGGTGCAGCTGCTCCTCTGGCAGGCGTGCAGAGGGCTCTGTGCCAGCAGAGGAATACCTGCGGAGTGCTGGCCGGGGCCGAGCACCTCCTTTCATTGCTCTTCCTACTGCTAATCCTCTCAAATGGCTTTTTGTTTAAATAAAACATGGCCTTGAGCAGTACACAGATGGTCGCGTTTGCAAGCAGATCCAAAGGTTTATAAATAGTCCTCAGATTATTAATTCTTCATTTATTACATTTCATCTACTCGGCAATCAGCACTTAATTTTGCAAAGGAAACGGTTCCAGAGTAACCAAAGTTTGTTTACGTAAATGGCACACGCTTCCTGACATTTTTCTCCTGTTTGGTAGTTCTGAAGTTACAATCCTGTTGTAGGAAACAGCTCGGTGTAACCCATCTGCTGTGCTGGCTGCGGGGCTGCGGGCCAGGGGCTGTGTGCTTTCTGGGGTGCAGACACCACCCGCCCTCGGAGGGTCTGGGACTGTGCTGGGCTCCCCTGGAGCGGCGGGGCTGGGGGCAGCAGAGGTCCCGGGACACCTGCATTATCCCAGGGGGCTCCCACTGCTGGGTGGATCTTCACTCCAGATCCACCACCAGCTGCAGCAGCGCTGGCCTTGCAGGTGACCTGACAGAATTTAACTGTCAGAAGCACAAGAGACCAACTGGCCTCGCCCCGGGAAAGCGCTGCAATCAGTATTACGTGTTGTGGAGCCAATCCTGCTCTGACCTCTGAACGGGCTCTGACGGATCAGGAGGGGCTGCTCCTGCAGCCCTGCTCGGGCTTGGGTAGGGTGGGGAGTTTTGTTTTGCCGACACAGGAATGCAAAGGCTTGGCAGGATGTCTGGGGGAGGGAGGGCCATCAGAGATGGCTTTACCTTCGTAGAAGTCGTAGGTGCACATGGTGTGGCCAATGAGCGTGGGGAAGTCGGGGGTCTCCTTGCTGCAGGCGAGCAGTTCCTGCGCGAGGTCCTTGTCCAGCTCGGTGCTCCTCACCACCACCTCGCCCAGCACCGCCTGCTCGAACCGCGGCTCGAAGGAGGAGTCCAGCGCCGTGTCTGTGATCACAACAGAGCCGGCCTCCACCCCTGGGAAAACAAAGGCTGAGGCTAAGCCAGGGCTCGTAACACTTGTGACCCGCTGCAGAACTTCGGCATGACAGGAAGACCTCTCTAGATGTGTGTGACTGTGGGGCGGTTCTTCGTAGTGAGTAAACCAGGTGTGAGAATAACTGAAAGGCATGCAGTGGCACAGACGTATGGTAAAATGTACGGAGTCAGCAGCGATGGGGGACTGTGGGACCGAGCTGAGCCAGAGTGTTTTAGTTGCCTCTGGCTTCAGAGACCAAGTCCCACCACCAGCTTGTGCAGGCGTGACCACGGGTCCCACCAGCAGGGAGGACTGCGGGCGCTGGGAGGGCCGGGAAGATCTCAAAGGGTGAGAGTGACTTCCAGTCAGTGTGTTCCCTTGGAAGGCATTCCCAGCTGTTGGAATCCAAGGCCTTTGTTCATTATGAACTGTGTGCTCTGCTCAGCCAGTCACTAGAAGTTTGCTGGGTTTTAACGCAAACCAAAGTATCATGTTGTTTGATACTTGGGGACCTGACAAAATGCTAAGGCTCATAATTACGTGACCTATTGCTGAGAGCTCTTTTTTTAATAGCTTTTTTTCTCAGAAGACAGCCCATGGATAGCTTACCTAAGCCTCCAGAAGTACCGATGCGTATAATAGTGACGTCTCGGCATTTTGCATGGTGCAGCAGCTTGATGAGCTCGTGAAGCATGATGGAAATGGAAGGGATTCCCATCCCGTGCTGTTGGGAGGAGAGAACAGAGAAACGTCATTCCCCGTGATGCTGCGGCAGGTGACAGGTATGTGACTGCCACAAGCTCAGCGTTACACTGCAGCCTCTTCCACTGATGAGGCCAACAGAGATTTTTTAAGGGGGGAGAGACATCTCAGGGTCTTTGCAGCCTGTCCAGGTAAAGCGTCTGACCCTCTCCTCCTCCCCTTGGTGCTTTTGAGGCTCTTGTCCATAGAGCTGCCCTTCATCCCTGGGACCAGTACGTTGGGTGCGCAGATGGTGTGTCTCCTTCAGGAGAGGTCTCTCCAAATGCATCTCGACAGCCGAATGCTCCCAGACCTTCCCCTGGTGTTGGCCGTCCTCATGCTGTGTGCTGAGTTTCATTCTTGTCGTGTCCCACTCGTGCTCTTGGGGTGGTGAATGTCAGTGAGGACAACCCCAGCCTCCGGGTGCCCGGGTGCCCCCAGCCCGTCCTCACCCCACGCTGGAGCACCTCTGCCCATGTTGCTGGGCACGAAGGAGCACGGGTGGTTCCTGCCCCTGGGTAAGGACCAGTTTCAGGCTCAGGGGTTCCACGTGAAGCCTCATGCCTCACAGGCCCCCTCTCCCCCTCCTGCCTCATCTCACCCACTTCTCTTGGCTTCACCTTTGAAACCAAAAGGCGTTTGATGGCGGGGGGCTCATTTCTTCCCCATGAAAAAAGCCTCACATTTGTTTGTGCTCCGGTGTTCAAAACCCTGAGGGAAGCGTATGTAGAGAAGCTCCCTTGGTTTAACGTCTGCAGTCGGTTTTCCTGTTGCTTCGTCTCGTTCCGCCTGGCTGTGAGACTGACGGTCTGTCAGGCTTGTATCATCTTTTAAATATGAAAACATTTTGCGTGTTGTTATTCTGGAACATCAGCCTGACTTATTTGCCAATGCCTGAAAAATTTATTCTCATTGTAAATATTCAAAGCAGGAGACCGTGTTCCTGCCTCCGGTATGTTGGAGTTCATTTCTGTCTCTAAGCAACTTGCAAAAATGCGGTGTTGGCAGCTGCTGGGCACCAGGCGCTGGGGGAGGCTCTGCCCCACGTCCCCTCCCCGGGACCAGCCCGGGGGGCGATGGCTTCTGCGCTGGCACAAAACCCCTGCATGGCCCGGAGCTCAGCGTCGGCTTCTCTTCCAGCTGTGTCCCAGCTGCTGCCAGAGCGGGGAGTGGCAGAACTCGAGGGCTTTTCCCCCTTGGGTCCTGTCAGATTGATTCCCTCAGGCTTCTCCGTCGGTCGGGTTGGGCTTGGTTTGGTTTGGTCCAAGGGTCCAAAGGTGAGCTCCGTGGTGTGAGTGATGCTGTCTCCTCTGGATCACATTTAGTACTGATCTTGTGCCTGAAGAAATGAAGGCAGGACCGAGCCTTGGGGTGTGAGCACTCACCTCTCACTGCCTTTGTGCAGTGCCAAGCGTACTGCTGCTCTTAACGAAGAATTAATAATAAAGCAAGGTTTTTACTTTAGAGCTCATGTCAGCGTAATACTTCCAGCAATATTTCATAGTTCATGCGTGGTGGGAAGCGGCCTTTGCCTCCCAAACTGCCAGGCTGCTGAGCTGGGCAAAATAATGTGCGTGTTCATTTTTAATATGATGTTTTTTGAACTCAACACGTAGGGTGCTGGGAATCGGCATTCACACAGGGGAAGCTTGGCCACGGCTGAAAGGTTGCGCTGCTGGTGGCGGCTGAAAACTGGAAAGGGGGGGAAAATCTGCTTGTGGGTGTTGCGGGAGATGGAGAAAGGAAGTGGTGGGGCTGGCCTGGCCACCCTCCCTGCGGCTGGGGGCGACGGGGTCCCCACGGTGGGACCAGGCTGGTGGCAGCAGACCCTGGGGTCACCGCGAGTGCCCGGGATGGAAACCATGTGCGTGGTGGTGCAATGTGTGGTGGTGTGGTGCGTGGTGGAGCGGTGTGTGGTGGCGCGGTACTTACGCTGATGGAGAGCACGGGCCCCACGCGGTACATGGCGTATCGGTCGGTCCCCGCACAGATGTCTGCCAGCTCCTCCCCGTCGCCCGCCAGCCCCAGCTCCCGGTGCATGAACTGGGCAAACGCCCTCATCCTGTTGGGGCTGCCGCCAACGCAGACAAACTGCACATAAAACATGAACGGGTTGGTATTTTTTAGCCCAAATAGGTGCTGAGACTCAGCCCCAACGTGGCGGTGGGGGCTGCACCGCACACACCTCCCCGCAGAGCGCAGGGATGCCGCTGCCCCGCAGGCAGCCGAGGGGCGTCAGAGTGACTGCGGGGCTCAAAAGCAGGAGTTAAGATTAAAACCGAGCTGTTACTCCTTTTAGGGCTCGGTGCAGGCAGCTGTACAGCTGCACATACTCGGGTATCAGTCCTAGGCCAAGAAAATCTAAAATAGTTTCACTGCAATGCATTCAGCAAATTCAGGCTGTTAGTGTTCCTACTGACAGCAAAGCAAAGCCAGATGTTAGAGTAGCTCCTCGTTTAATTTATTCTATCAGCAGCGCCAACTGCAATTAGCGAGCACTGCTCATGACACAGAGGCCGTAAAGTCAGGGAGGAAAAAGGACAGATTTTACATATTGAAGGGAAAGATGCTCCCCGAGCGCAGGCGGGGGCCGGCGTGCGGCTGCAGGGGCAGTGTGGCTCATCCGGCAGCGCAGGGCAGCGGGAGCCGGGACGTGGCACGGGGCTGTGCCAGGCTCCAGCCCTCACCCGGGCACCGCGGCTCTTCCCCGGCGCAGGGAAGAGGATGCAGAGGTGTCAGGCTGGCTTTGGCAGCAGGTCTCGGCCAAAAATACATCCTCTTTCCCTTGCCTCCAGTAGATGATGATCAGATGCTTTGGACAAATGCTTCCCCCGTCTGTCCTCCAGCACGGGGACCAGTACGGAATCAGGTTTGACAGAGCCACAGGGTTTTACAAGGATAATTTTCTATTGGGATTTCTGCCCGAAAAAAGCAAGGACGGATGATGTCACTGCCCCAGGTCGCTGAGTCCCTTTGCCCAGCAGCCAGTCCCTGCTCCCAGCCTGGGCTTTGTGCCTGCTGTTTACCTTGATGTCCCCAAACATTGCCGGCAGGTTGTGCGTCTTCGTCCCCAGGTCCAAGTGATACAGAATGTCCTCCTCCAGCGCGTCCAAGTGCGGGTTTTTGATGTGGACGAGCCCACTGCTGCAGGAGACACGAGGGTGAGGACGGGTCAGGGGCACTGGGCAGTGCCCAGGGATGGGGACAGGGCAGGGGGGGCACGGGGTGACCGGGGGGCCCCGCCAGGGACACACATTGCACTGGTGTCGGGGAAGGGACGGGGACGAGCCAGCTCTGCGGGGTGCCCGGGATGGCTGCCCGGCTGTCAGAGCCCTGCTGTCACACGAGCTGTCCTCCTCCTCACGTCCAGCGCTGTCAGAAACCTCTTCGGCATCTCTCTCGTTAGGTTGGCGTATTTGGCACAAAACGTTTCTCCATATTTATCATCAATTTTGTCAATGGCGACCTTAGCTCTGCCTTTCGTATAATTCTGCCAGAAATATCTAGTGGGTAATGTACTGTGCTATTTCGTACGTGACAGCTTATTAAGCTCTTAGCGAGTCGGGATTTTATATTTATATTGTCCCAAATAACTGCCTAGCAGTACAAGTACAAATTAAACCCAAACTCTGCAGGCAGCGGGGGGGCGGTTTGCCTTCCTTTCCACGTGCTTTAATAGATGGAAAGCATCTGAGCAACAATACAGGTCAACTTTTATAAATAAGGCTTAAACAAAAGCCGGAGAACGTTCTTCTTGTCTTACTAAAACAAATTGGGACTCACCCGGCGTAACCTGTTGTTTCAGTCATATCGCCTCCTCCAGAGTCAGCTGAAAGCGATACCTCTGCGGGAAAGGCAAAAAAACAGCCTGCTGTTTCCCCAGCTGCGGGGTGTCAGGGCTGGGAAGAGGTTTCCAGGGGCTCTGCAGGGGGTTAAATACCCTCTGGCTTTGTGTGTGGCTCCCAAGATCAACAGTCTGGCCGGTCCCCTTTGCCCCATAGCTGCCAGAGGTGACCCCGGGGGGGCTGCCCCAGGGGGGCTGCCCCGGCGGTTTGTCCCAGATTGGCTGTTTTTGCAGGTGTGTCACCCCTCCGCCGGGGCCAGGGGCCACTGACCCGCTTGCCCTCTGGCCAACGGGGTGGCCCGGGCGCGTGGCAGGCACACGTGCCGTTCTTGGGGTGCTGAGGGGCCTGGGGAGCCCCCACGGATGCTGCCCCGTGGTCTGAGACCCGGGCAGGGGCCGTACAGCCCCTGCCCGGGTCTCAGACCACGGGGCAGCATCCGTGGGGGCTCCCCAGGCCCCTCAGCACCCCAAGAACGGCACGTGTGCCTGCCACGCGCCCGGGCCACCCCGTTGGCCAGAGGGCAAGCGGGTCAGTGGCCCCTGGCCCCGGCGGAGGGGTGACACACCTGCAAAAACAGCCAATCTGGGACAAACCGCCGGGGCAGCCCCCCTGGGGCAGCCCCCCCGGGGTCACCTCTGGCAGCTATGGGGCAAAGGGGACCGGCCAGACTGTTGATCTTGGGAGCCACACACAAAGCCAGAGGGTATTTAACCCCCTGCAGAGCCCCTGGAAACCTCTTCCAGTCTTGAAGATGTATTTTGGTGCTGGTGAGGTCCTGTGCTCGGGACCCCCAAACTGACCCCCTCTCTGTGCCCAAGCAGCCTGGGTTGCCCCCCCTAAGGGAAGCTGATGTCCCCCCTCCCCTATGTCCCTTGTGCAGTAGGTGGTCGTCCCCTCCTCCATCCCACATCCCGCATCTCCGGGACCCTGGGCTGAGTGCTGGGCTGGGAAAATACACATCCAAGCCCTTAAAAATTGCAAAATGGCCTATAAAAAAAGCAAATAAGCGTTACAAGAAAAGTGTAAATTGGGTATCTCGGCAGAGGGAGGGTCAGGGTGGATGTGGGGAGGGGTGGGAGCGGAGCCCGCACAGATATTTCTGACTTGCTGGAGCCGTACCAAAGTCAGGCTGGGATGGTTTCTCGGCTCTGATGAGGTTCTCCCCTCCCCGGATGCTGTTAACATATGTCTGCCAAAGATGACTGATTACTGATGCTCCGCAGCACTCCTGAAGAGTACGAATCTGGAGTCTCTTTTTCCTTTCTGAGCGCACCAGATTGCGCCGTGAGGAACAGGGGAAAAACTTTCCTTAGGGATACACACATCTTCCTCCCGCGGCCTTCATCTGCCTCACTCACCCGGTGCAATCGCTGGGTTTTCCAGCATAAAACTCAGTGTTTCGGGCACGTTGCAGTTAATGCAGTGATCGTCGTGCAGATCTTTACAGTTTGTCCAATTAGCATTACTTGATTTGCAGAATTCAATGGGAAGGTTTGTCCCTGACAAACGGCAGCTGGAAACACTCCGGGAGGTGGGATCCCACTTTGGGCTTCCCACGGCTTTGCTGGGACCCCTGGGATGGGACTGTTGGGTGGGGGGGAAGGGGGCTCTGCCCCACGCCTGCCCTCAGCATCCCTGGCTCCCTGAGGGAATGCCGGCCCCCCCAGGGGAGCAGAGCCAGAGGGAGCCCCCGAGTGCGGGGGACTGAGGCTGGGGCAGTTCCCCGACCATCGTTAAGAGGCTAATTTGGCACATGGGGCCCGTATTATCGTTGGTGACGCAGGAGGGAGAGGGAACAGCTTGTGCCTGGAGCCCAGATAAGTCCGTGGGATGAGTGGGCACGAAAATCACCTGCTGGTGAAGGGAGCGCAGCTGAAAGGGAAGGGAAGCACCAGTCCCTCACCCCGTGCCAGCGTTTTCTGATGGGTTCAATGCCAACTTTGCAGTTCGTGGCCCTGAGGGGGTCCAAGGAGGAGGGTCCTTGCTCTCCCTCCGGCACGGTGGTGCCTCGGCCCCCGTGGAACACTGGCCGTGCAGGGGGTGAGCACACTGCGGGGCAGGGGCTTCGCTGGGGAATGAGCAGCCAGCGGGGCTGGAGGGAAGGGCCCGAGTTGGCAGGACAGTGGGTGGACAGACAGACAGACAGGTTATTGTCACAGGAGTGACGCTGTGGCAAGGCGGGGAGCGTGTGTGTCCCCGGCGGTGCTCCTGCTGCCTTGGTGTGTCACAGCAGTGTCCGTGTGTCCCTGTGTGTGTCCCCCGGCGGTGCTCCCGCTGCCTTGGTGTGTCACAGCAGTGTCTGTGTGTCCCTGTGTGTGTCCCCTGGCAGTGCTCCCGCTGCCTTGGTGTGTCACAGCAGTGTCCGTGTGTCCCTGTGCGTGTCTCCCGGCAGAGTGCTGCTGGACACCCCTGGCACCCCTGCACCCGCACGGTTATAAACTCTCTCACCATAAAATAATTTCCCGGAGCTTCTTCAGTTGAATATTTACTTATGAACTAAAAATAATATTCGTGTGCCCCCAGCTGCCATTCATGACATCCTTGCCTGGTGGCCAGTGAAAGCCCATCCGTGACTGGCCACAGCCCGGCCCCAGGCAGGACCCCCCGGCGTGGGGCAGAGGGGGGTGGTTTTGGAGGGTGGCCCTGCTGAGCGAGCAGAGACAGAAATCCTCTGGATCCCGCACAGGTGGGCTGGGAAACCGTGAGTAAGCAATGTTCCTGGTGGTGTTTGTCCCTGCTGCGGTCAAGGTAAAAGCAACAAGCGTGTTCTTTTTAAGTAAACATGACTGCACCCAGGGAAACCATTGACTCCTGCTTTCGGCTTCCCAGAACTGCTGCTGGCGGGGAGGGACAGCGGCTGTGCGTGTTTCCCTGCCTCCCTCCAGGCAGGTCCGTTTGCTGCCTGCTCCGTACGAAAAGTCCCTTGTCTTTAGTTTCCTCCTTAGAGATTACTCTTCCTGTGGCTGTTCTCCTTTAGGATGGCTTTCAGTGATATCCCAAACTGAAGTGTGGCTGTTCCTCCCTCACCCACTGCAGGTGCGGGCACAGTTTGCCCTCCTGCTTCATGGCAGACTGCTTGCCAGGCTGCAGGAATGGAATGGAATGGTTTTCAGTTGAAAGGGACCTACAATGATCACCAATTCCAACTGCCCGTTTCCTTCTTTTAGGAGGCAGGGTCAGGGAGTGGGGATGGCAAGATGCAGAGACCGTTGCCCTGAGCGAGTGTTTGTTTGTGAGTGATTGGGAGCTAAATTCAGGCTCTCGGGGTGCCAGGCGGCAGAGCCGTAAGCATATGTGCTGAAGGATGACAAATAAAGCAGGATGAAGCATTCGGCAGAGTACCATATGGTAATCTAGACAGGCTCTCAGCAGGAGAAGAGCCTGGGAGAGCCAGCACTCCTGCACCCATCCAACACCTCTAGTCATGCTAAATGCTATTTTAAAACAGAGAGCCGCCTGTCAGCCTCTGCAGGGCAGGGAGATGTTGTGTCCTGCCCGAGCTGCTGCAGCGGCTGCTCCCAACAAGCCCCGGCAGTTTCCTCTCGAGCCGGCTCCTCTCTGGTGTCTCTCCCCTTGCGACGCGCTGCTCTCTCGCTGTGAGAGAGGTGATGCTCCCCGGGGCTGGGGACCCTCCCGTGTGCCACCGGCAGCCCCTCGCACACCCATGCCGGGCTGGGCAGGAGGGGACAGATTGTGCTCGTGGCGGGAGCAGGGTCTCCAGCGCTGGCACAGCAGGGAGAGCCAGCCTGGCCTCGCACCATGCACTGCTGTCAGCTTTTAAATTAGCAGTTCTGGTTCGTTAGCAGAGAGTTGATGAAAATTCACGATCGAAGAGATGTCTGGTGCATTCCTCTAGCGGTGATTTCTGGCAACCTGCGTGAAAGAGCAGAAGAAGCGCTGGGGAGAGCTTCTACCTGACAGAAACACGGCTGTGTGCCAGCACACAGAGCTCTGCCCCTTCCCTTCCCTTCCCTTCCCTTCCCTTCCCCTGTTTGCTCTGATTCTTTTTTTCCCCTTGTTTATTATTGGTATAAATCTGCTCCTGGCTTTGGGAGAAGTCAGTAAAGTGCTCTCTGAAGAAACCAGGCACCGTAAATCCTCGGGGCCCGCGAGTAACTGCAGCTTGTCAGGACACGTTTTCCCCCGAGGTGAAACGTTGTCATAAACCCATTTATTCCAGGCAGAAATCAGCCGCCTGACGAGCCTGGCTATTCGGGGAGCTGCTGAGCCCCCAGTCCCTGTGCTGGAGCCAGGTCCCCGTTGGCAGCGCCGGAGGGGCTGAGCACTGCTGTGTCGTCACAGGGATGTTTCTTAAGAGCCGTGGAGGAGGTTGAGTCTCTTTTCCCTCTGTAGCCTTGAGCACGGTGTGCTGGCTCCCTCCCCGGGCCGGGCAGCCGCTCTGCCCGCTCTGCAGGCACCTTTCTGCCCAAATCCTGCCCACGGGTGGCAGCCGCACATGCTGGGGAGCTGCTGGGGAAAAGCTGCTCGGGTTGGGTTCAAACCTGCTGGTTTCTGGCCAGAGCCAGTGCTGGCTTTGCTGTGATAGTGTGGGGTACTGCCCTGGCAGTGTGGGGCGCTGCCCTGGCAGTGTGGGGTGCTGCTGTGGGAGTGTGGGGTGCTGCTGTGGGAGTGTGGGGCGCTGCCCTGGGAGTCATAAGCCGTCTGCTCCCCTGTGCCTCTTCCTATGGGACTCAGCTGCTCCGCTCCTTCACAAGCCGTGGGTCCGACATCGCAGCACCTCTCGGTGTGCTCCATCCACGGCAGCAGCCCCTGCCCGGGGGCTGCCCCCCTTCTGCCGAGCCACCAGCCCTCCCCATGGCCCTTGGTTGACTGCTGAGAGCACCCACAAAATGCACAGATGCAGGTGGGTAAGAGGCTGCCCGCTCTGCTGAG